CTGGTCCTGTCTAATAAAGCTTAAAAGCAAGTTTTAAAAGGATCAAATTACTTCAAAGTCACTAACTAGTACCTCAGAACAAAGCCCCAGAATATTCAAAGGAATGAAAAAAATACCTAGTTCCTATGCTATGTGACTGGCACACAACAAAAATGTATAAGATATAAAAAAGAAAATACAACTGAAAATGGGAAAAGAGATTAGTCAAAATATATGGATTAGTCAAAATAAATAGATCCAGAAATAACAAACATGACATAAATTAGCAGAAAAGGCCATTGCTTTACTTACTAATTATATTCCATACATTCAAGATGGTAGGGGAAATACTGAGCATGTCAAGGAGAGACATGGAAGATGTAAAAAAGACCTATTCAAAGGTATAGGGATAAAAAGGACACTGTCTAAACTGAAAAATGCAATGGACAAGAGTAACAGCACATTAGACAATGAAGCAGAAAAGATTAATGAACTTGGGAAGACACAGGAAAAGAAACTATCCAAAATAAACTACAGAAAAAAAGACTAGACCAAACAACACTGCATCATTTTAATGTGAGATAACTTCAAAAGACTCAATAAATATGCAATTAAAGTTCTAAAAGGTAGAAGATTGATAGTCAAAAGAAATAATGGTTAAAATTTTCTAAATTTGATGAAAACTAAAAACCCACAGATCTAAGAATCTCAACAGACCCCAAGTATAAGAATCACAAAAAATTCTAACAAAGCTCATTATAATCAAATTGCTTAAAACCAATGATAAAGAAAAATAATCTTTATTAAAAGAAGCCAGTGCTAATGTACAGAGGAACAAAGATTAAAAATAACAGTAAGAAGGCCAGGAATTTAGCTCAGTGGCTCTGCCGCTTGCTTCGCAAGCACAAGGTTCCAAGTTCGATCCCCAGTACAAAAACAAAAACAAACAAACAAAACAAAAAAACAACAGTAAGCTCCTGGTTGGAAAGTATGAACACAGTGAAACCTTTAAAATCTAAAATAAAAGAGGAGTCAATCTAGAATTCTGTATCTAGTGAAAATAAAAATACCTTCCAAAAATGGAAGTGATACAATTTTCCTAACACACAAAGGCTGAAAGAACTTGTTACCAAGAGATCTGCAGTACAAGAAATGTAAACGGAAAGAAGTCTCTCAGAAAGAAGAGAATAGCAGATGGAAATCGAAGTCACAAAAAAATGGAAAGCACTGGAATTGGTAAAACATGGGTAAATCACACATTTTCTTACTTTTATATGTCTTTAAAAGATAAATATCTAAAGTGAAAGTAGTAACAATGCATTTTGGAGTTTATGACACAGAAATAAAATATATGGTAACAACACAAAGACCAGGATGAGAGAAACAAAAAAAGGTAAGGTTCTTAGATTACAGATAGAAGTGGTATAACATAATTACATAGGAAGAGTATGATAACTTAAAAAGGTATACGATAAAGTCTGGAACACCCACCAAAAACAGGGACAGGGTAGCAGGCATACAGACAGAACAAATTGAAAATACAAAGCAAAATGACAGATCTGAATCCAACCACATCACTAATTACATGAAATGTAAATGGTCACAACACCCTAATTAAACAGCAGAGATCATCAGACTGGATTACTGAGTAAGACCAAAGTATATGCTGGCTACAACAAATTCACTTCAAAGAGAAAGATACAATAAATTGACAACATAAGACAACACTAGTCAAAATACAGCTGGAATGACTATAGTGAAGTCAGATAAGGTGGACTTCAAGGCAAAGACTATTACCATGGACAAAGAGGGTCACTTCATAATGACATCCTTCCTAGTGATAAAAAGGACAATTCATCAAGGAGGACATAAAAACCCTGTATCAGTGATGGTGAAACTCTTAGAGCTTTCACTGATAACAAAAAACAGTCCACTGCGGCACATGTGCGTAGGTTCACCACCATTGCCCTATGTGTACCTACTAGTACATTTGCAAAATGCAGGAAGTAAAAAATGATAGAACTCCAAGGAAAAGATAAACAAAGCTACAATTATTGCTGAAGATTTCAATATACCTTTCAATAATTAATAAAACACATACCAAAAAATATCAGCAAAGATATAGAATATTTGATCACCGTTATCAGCTAACTTGATCTAATTGACATTTATCCAACATCCTCTGTGTTCTTTGGACCACACATTCTTTTCATGTATACAGGGAACATTTACCATGATGGATCATATTTTGAGCCATAAAATAAGCCTCAATACATTTTAAATTCCAATTATATTAAGTATGTTCTTTGACTACAACAGAATTAAATTAGAAATCAGTAACAGAAAGATATCTGGAAAACCTCCAAATATTTGGAAACTAAATAACAAACTTCTAAGAATTAATGAATAACGCTACCCATTTTGAAGAAATGGTGCGTGCCTTTTTCTTAGATTATGACTATTATACAAATCCCATGATTTTTGCCTTGGCTATCAAGAAGCTCAGGGCTAAATAAAATGTTTAATCACAATAATCATATCTACTCTTTTATTTATTTTTTTTGGTACCAGAGATCGAACTCGGGTCCTTGCGCTTGCGAAGCAGGTGGCGAAACCACTGAGCTAAATCCCTAGCCCTAATCACATCTACTCTTAAATCACTCATTATTTGTCTCAGTTTGAGCATCTAGTAGGTGACTTTACAGAATTTAGCGATACAATACAATGTTTGTTCTAAAGCCCAGCTTAATGGTCAGGGGTCCTAAAGACTGTATTTGTAAACCTCAACTATTTTCATTTACTGAAAGTCTCTAATGCTATTTTGCAAAGCATGTCCTTTTTTAAAAAATTGCCTTTAATCCTTTACAGAAATAGTTGTCGGCCCCTTGCCAGATCTAATAGTGCACAGAATTTTAATAGCAGCCTATGTTAAACATAATTCAAAATGTATGAAATTATGAAAAATTTATTTGGTAAGGCCAAATAATAACAGAGTTTTTTTTTTGGACGATGATTTACAGTAGTGCTCCTCTCTTTTGGAATAAATAACCTAGGTTTCACTATCTTTAAATATATCATCAGCAACAATCTAAAATTTTGCCATCAAAGGAACAAATAACTGAACTAAAAGGAAAATAATGCACAAGTTGGTGGTGTTCTATCAATGACGAGAGAGCTCGGGAGGTAAAGAAAGGTCAACCCAGTGCCAAGGTGGCCCAAGAAGGCTGCACTCTGTGCTCAGGGGAAACCTGGATGGAGCTAGGTCCTGGAGTGCCTCCCTTGGAGTCTCTGCTCCTCAGTTTCTTCTTCTGTAAAATGTAGGGGTTACAACAGATGACCCTAAGGTCTCTTCTAAGTCTGCAATTCTACGGATGTAGTTCAGATGGAGTGTCAAAGAAAACACCCCAAGAGGGAGCTCTGCTGTACCTCCTTCCCACAAGCCATGTAAGTTACCAAAATTAAACCTGATGATGCCACGTAACACATTCTAGGTGCTGTGCTCAGTGTGGCATGGAAAAAGAACTGTGGAATGCACACATGGTCAGAAGAGCTGAGCCTTACTTTCACTTGAACCTTAATAAAAGGTCTAACCAATTGTAATTTAATTGCTCTCATTATTATTAAGTTTCCTTAATAAGATAAAAGATGCAGAAAGATAAACTATGCAAGTGCTAGGGAAAAGAGACCCTTTTCTCACTATGGACAGCTATGAAAGCGTCTTGGAGATGGAGCTTGAAAGGACAGGTGGAAAACAAAGGAAGTTTGTTTGGAAGGAAGTTGTATAAAGTGGCACAGTCTAGGAGAAGACATGAGTTTTGGAGTTGGTGGACTTCATTTAACTCCTAACCTTTTCTTTTCCAACTCTGTAACCATGGACAATTCGGCTTTCTGACTCTCAGTTTCCTTAAATCTGTAACAGGTAGAATTACTTTGTAGTTTTAGGGATTAAAGTTGCTAGCTGTAATACCTGGCATACAGTAGTCACCCCTAAAATAAAAGCTTTCATTATTAAAGCCCCAGAGCCCAAAGATAAGGGCATGATGGGATGTAACCGACTGGCAAAGCAGAGGACATGTCTGTTAAGGCAGTGAGGACCCAATTTGCAGAGGGCCTGACTAGTTTGTTAGTAAGAACTTGGTGCTGACAGTACGGTTCTGTGGAGTTAAGACTTAAGGTTGCAAAGGGCTCAGTCTGAGGTGCAATTCAAGACAGTCTGTGAGAGAAACCTGAGATTTAAAATGATGGGAAGACGCAGTACCAAGAGCCAATGGCAGAGAGTAAATTCAAAGTGTCTGGCAGAACTGGAAGCATGGGAGTGTGGCAGAGATGGGGCATGGATTATGAACAGGATGGGAACAAGTGAGAGGACTTACAGGGAACTGCCAGGACCACCCCTGAATTATGTGCAGCTTAACTCTACGGGTCAGTGTAGAAGCAAGGCAGACGACATCTTAAGCTTTTCGACATATACAGGTGAGGATGGGGTGGAGCAAGACAGTTACAGTCAGATCTGTGATCCAACTTCTCAAGTCTGTGGCAAAGTAAAAGGTTCATGGGAGAAGAAAATGACTGAAAGTACAGAAGTTATCTCAAAAAGCTGGGTAGGAGGTAACATGAGGCTGATCCAAGGCCACAGCCATGGGTATGAAAATAGAAAGTATCATATGGCCACATTACCGGGAAGTTTCTAACAGGACACGGCAGTTTACAGGCTGTGGCAAATAAATACATCCAATTCTACTAAGGTTCTGAGCGGCACGACTAGGACCATAGTGATTTCCAACCTTTTGTGGTTGGTGTAATTCTTCTTAATGAGAAGAACTACTGATGAGAATAACTACAATGCACAGAGTTTGTAATACTTAAAACACTTCTAGGTGCCTGAATATCACTATAGGGCCACAGCCTCCTCTCCCTACCATTTGAACCTTAAATCATTTCACCTGTTCTCTGACTTAAGCTAAGAGGGGAAAGGAAAGCAATGAGCATCAAGAATTTCATAAAATGAGTCCAGTACTTACCTTTACAGCTAATATTTTCCCACTTGGGACATGATATGCTCTACGGGAAGAAAAAAATAGCAAAGTTACTTGAGATTATTAAACACTGTATAAAATGTCAATCCAAACATTTTTGCAGCAACTGGATACATACAAGTTACTTTCAAAGAATGCTAATCACGTTGGATTAGTAATTTACATTTCTATGGAGCTTAATGGGTTACAAAGTGATTCATTATACATTACCTTAAAATGACCCTCCCAGGTAATGCTGGTTATTAATATCCTCCTTTTATAGATGAGAACACTAAGGCAGAGTTTGTCCAACTTGTAAAGCAGTTTGCTCAACTTGTAAACTGAACAGTGTCAAAACTAAACAACAAACCGGAGTTTCTGGCTCCAGATCCTCTAGAACTGTCATTGTGTGTTGTGTGTGTTGTGTGTGTATGTGTTGGGGAAGTGGAGTTTCTACAGTTCCATTCTAAACACCATACAGTGGCATGCAAAATGGGAGGTTTGATTTGTGTTTCTTTCAATTACATATACAGATAAACTACATGATTATATTTCATCAAAATGATCACAAAACACATAGAAGTAGCTATGGCTTACAATATAATTTCATATTATATTGTAACTAATAAATCATAGTTATAAAGCTCAAACATGTCATTCATCTTTTCCTTAAACAGAGAGGCAGGCTCAAAGTAAAAGATACAGCAAAATAACTATAACTTAAACGAAGAAATATGAATAAGGGCTGGGGATGCAGTTCAGTGGTAGAGCTTTAGCCTAGCAGGTACAAGGTACTGGGTTCAAGCCTCAGCACTATAAAAAAGTAAAAAAAAGAGAAAAGAAACAAATATGAACACACTCATTTATGAAAAAGAGTAAAAGAATAAGGTTTGATGAAATATAAAATCCCAAGGTTTTCATCAAGAACAACTGTGTTTAAATGAAATGTGGCCTTTTATACATGCAAAGACTACGTATTCTGACTCCTATCTAGAAACAGCCTTGTATAAACCACATAACATAAACAGGCATTGTTACTGCAAGACCATATAAGTATAAAGAAGCAAATAAGTTCAGAACTACTAAAATTTGTTCTTTTGAGGACTTCACATATTAACTCAGATCAGAATGGACTTTCTTTTATCAAGGCAGGGTTAGGATGAGAAGGGGATGGGAGGATGGGAGGGACAGAAAAATCAGCACCCCAGGAATTCCTAGTCCTCACCTGCCTATGGACAAAATATATCTCTCAGAACTCAAAACAGCTCATTTCTTAAAACACAAATACTTATATATTCCACTATTATCTAAGTGAAAGCATCATTTTGCTGTTTTGGCAGAAAATATTTGGTTGTTCTGTCAAATGTTTTGACAGCTCCACTGAAGTATAATTTACATATGATAAATATTCACTTCTTTTAAGGGTACAATTCAATGATTTTTAGTAAATTTACAGAGTTGAGCAATTGCCAACAAATGTTTTGAGAGTGACTGACCTACAGAAATAGTAAGGGCCTATAGGCCAGACTAGGAAAACACCTGTATTTATGTTTGTACTTTTCCACGTACATGAGTGTTACAAGAATTTATTCGTTCTGTTTTTCCTACTTAACTGGACAGAGGTTAAGCCAATTATGGAAAGTAAACTTAGTTTTCATTGTATCAGTCAATTGTAAAGAAATGCAAATACAGCTCATTTAAGAGAAAAGCAAGAATATAAACACAAGGTGAAAATTGTTTACTAAGGAACTCTTTTACCTGTGAAAGTATCTAAAGATCTTTTCTAAATAACAACCTCCTTAACGTATATATATTTATCATTTATAAACTTTAATCAGTTAAATATATACTTTGAATAAAGTATACTTGTTTCAGAACAAATTATTACTTTACTATCTATGTTAATATCAGACTTTTACAATCCAAAGCTATATTTTAGGTCATGATATATCTAAACTCATGTAACAAATGGGAATATAAGAATTTATGCCTTATCTTTCTCAACGTCTGACAGAGGACTTGTTGAACTATACAATTTGAAATGTGATCTGAAGAACTTAGTAACTTTATTCCATGTTACTATAGGTAATATGTAAGATTTAATATTAATATATTATTTTTCCCTGTACATCGTAGATTCTCCCAATTTCAACTTTTTAAAATACTGGGCATTAGAATCACTAACCAAGGTCTGAAATATGAAAACAAATAGTTTAATGAACACAAAAGGATTTGAAAGTTGTAAAAAGAGCAATGTGTGTCACTTTGAATAAGTAACATCTGGACTTCTGAGACCAGCTGCAGATATAAGGAAATGATTAGCAGTCTAATACATATACTATACTGGACAGTTTGGCAACTTAATTAGCTTGTCAAGAAAACCGATCTCTTTTCCAAAAGAAAGGTCTCCTATTTCCAAGTGAATTAAAAGGGGAGACTTGATGATTTAATTATGACACACGCTAATTCATCCGTGGAAGTTTGGGCTCGATTTCGAGCAATAAAGATGCTGTGTGGCTTGGTTTACAGTGCAATGACAGTACCAGTTTAACATTTAATCATCGAGGAGAAGAGGATGACAAAGGCAGCGCCAGGCATGAGTCGGGTACGTCCCTTCACTTTGCAAACCACCTTCTACCTGGAGAAAAGGAATTTGTTTACTTTCAACGGATACTGGGACACTGCGCCTCAATTGGATACTGCATCTCAATGGTCTTGACCTTCCTCAACACATTAACTGGAAAGTGATTAATGAAGTTTGAATGCAGGCTCTGGTTACACCAAAAGACAACTATACACCTCCGCAATGTTTTAATTAACAGCTAACACTTCAAATTAGTTTGCTGTTGCCACAGTAATTACCTGTTCCAAAGAGTGCATGGAGGAAGCATTCTTATGAGATATTTTTAGTGCTTAGCCCTGAGTGATCTGCTTTTTTTGTGACCAGCACAGACCTTCTGGGGATAGTCTCAGCCTTTAAAACTGAACACACAATATGTACACTTTAGGATGGCAACAGCTAGTGGCCTAGTATGAATTTCTGAATATATAAAATAACAAGAAGAACAGCACAAGTGAACAAATGACTACCCACACTTTTTTCCCTCCTCCTGGGGATAGAGTCAAGAGCCCTGCAGCAAGCGCTCTATCACTAAGCTACATCTCCAGCCTTTCTACTTCCTCTTTTCCTTGGAGTCAATAGGTCCTAGATGACTGAACAAAGAAGGTGGTAACAACCTTTAATCCTGACACACAGCATCGAAGAGTGAACTGGTAGGAAGTAGAGAATTGTTGAGTTTGATCCCGTTCTTTTACAACCAAAAACTAGTTTAAATTTCTGGTCAGTGGCAAAGCCAAAATTGGAACTATGGCAAAATATGCTCATGTGAGTATTTAAAGGACTATGTGTCAATGTGTAAATTTTCTTAATTGTATTCTAGGGCAGAGAAGCACACAATTCAAAATGCACCAAAGCATGTATTATTTTAATCAAGGTAAGGTCAACCGTCAAATCTCTCCGGGCAAGGAAGCATCTTGCGGTTACTGCCAATCTATCCTGGGAGGCAGAACAGCAAAGGATGTGGGCTTCCCAGACACTGCCTGTTTCTGATACCAGCTCTGCCACCTCTCCACAGGTGTGTGTGACCCTGTCTCAGCTGTCCCAAGTCTGCAGTAGGAGAGGGACAGGCGTGTGAGGGTTCAGTGAGGAAAAACTGAGGCTAGGCTGGGGCACTCAGTAAAGTGTCCGTTCCATGTTATGAAGCCGGGAAGTTCAGAGTAGCTGAGCATTCTAAGAGTAAAACCTTAGTTTTTCAGACAGACTGAAAGAACACAAAATCTTTATTCTTAAGAGTCAGGCTAGGGCCGGGGATTTAGCTCAGTGGTTCTGTCACCTGCCTTGCAAGCACAAGGACCTGAGTTCAATCCCCGGTACCAAAAAAAAGAGTCAGGCTGTGTGTTCTATAAATGAACATTTAACAAACTGTTAACTATGGAGACAGAATTAAAACAGTCAAAATGCTATAATTATACTGGGATCCAAATTCTACATTTCCCCTGTCTATCTCTTGCCCACAACTGTTAGCTACTTACACTCCAGGTAGTTGTGGTAAGTGCCCCATGGATTCAGGGCTCGGCTCAGCAGAAACACCTTTGATGATCACTGTTGCTAACTGAGAAAGCCAATGCTTCATTCTCTATGGGTTAATAAATAGGAAAATATAATCTATCCTAAAACACTCACCTACCTGCCTTTAATATGCATCCTTATAGACACTGGAAAATAAAACTCTTGAGATCTTCCCTATTTTTCAGACCTTAGTTGCTATATTACAGCCCCTGCCACACTGGAGAAAATTATTCATGTGTCTGTGACCCATGGTGGACAGTGAGTACAGCCATGTCTTAACCATCTTTCTATTCTTTACGTTTAGCATAAGGGCCAGCCCATGGTAGGTGTTCTATACTTATGAAAAAAAAAAGTCTATCGCTTTAATATAGCATTTTACAAAGAAATTCCACAGACATTTAATTAATTGTATGCTCTTATAAGCAGATGTTATCATCACTGCCCCCTTCCATGGTTAGACTTCTAACTATGAAATCAAAGGTCGTTATAAGCATTTCAGGATCTGGCCCCTGCTTACTTTACTGATCTCTGCCTCTGCCAATCCTCCTCATCCTCAACAATCCCTCTGCACTAAACATGCTCCTGTCTCAAGGCCTTTGCACCTACTCTAGAGACCTGGACCATTCTCTCTCTGCTGTCTACTTGGCTTACTCCATTACCATACTCCCTTGGTACTTTCACATAAAACAGCCCATTCTCCCTTCCTTTATTCTTCAAAGAATTATGAGCATCCAGTAGAATTATCTGTCTCCTACCACCAGCAAAGAAACCCCACAAAAAGAGACTTTTAGAGCTTTTTTGTTGTTTTGTGCTATATCTCCAGTGTCTAAAACTTTGGCGGGCAAGATTTTTGCAAGTAGTTGTTGAATTAATGAATTTTCTTCATTGCTTTAGATCTATTTTATTTTTCTTAAGAC